ATAGGAAGCCATTACTAAAATTATACTTATAAATACTATGTTGATTCTATTATTTGACTCCTGAATACTTAAATGAGTCTTTGCCTTTGTCTCCTTTAGACTTAAAGCTGTACACCTACCCAAGATAAAAACCAGATGTCTTGTGACTGTGGAGGAGACAGATACCTTCCACTGTGGGCCAGATCCCAAGCAAAAGGCTAAACTTGGCCCTCAAACCCCACGGGGAGACATTTTTAATATGGCTGTTCATGTCTTCAACAACAGAGATAAAAATCAAAAAGAAAAATAACAATCTAATCTTTTAGCAGTGGCACTTGGAGCTCCCAAGACAGAACAGCCAAAACAAGGCAGGGCTGCCGAAGCCCCTCCCAAACCATGCTTCCAGTATAACAAAGAAGGACACTGGACAAGAAAGTGCCCCAACCCTGTGTTCCTCTGGGCCCTTGCCCCTATTACAATTACAAGGGCCATTGGAAGAGTGACTGTCCTAGCTGCCAGAGAGTGCGTAAGTCATCTTCCAACTCCTTGCCCTCATAGGGGATCGCATCACCACCAGATTCTTCACTGACTGATCTACTCAGACTTTCTGCTGAAGATTGATGGGGCTTGGGCTCCACCCTCCATTAAGGTATCCTTCTCAGAGCCCCAAGTCCCATTGGAGGTCTCAAGTAAGATATTCTCTGTACTTGTGGACACAGAGGCAATGTATAGTGTTCTTCCTGAGTTTTCAGGCCATTATATTAAGTCCTCAGTCTCTATAGTGGGTGTTGATGGCCAACCTATGCAGCCTTTGCAGACAGGGCCTATTCCATGCAGATCCCAGGCTGTTCTTTACTCATAGCTTCCTAGCAATTTCAACATGTCCCACACCTCTTTTTGTAGAGACCTTCTTCGAAAGCTTAACTTCTCCTTTACCCTCTCCCTCCCCATAGCTCTCTGTCCTCTAGCCACCCTCACCATACATCCACAAAGCCATCCCCTCCTTTCTTCTCTGCCCAATCCCATAGTTTGAGATACCTCCAATCCCACCCACATTATCCACGCCATGCCTATTTTGACTTGTCTCAGATATCCTTCAATTTTTCCTTGTGTTCCCCAATATCCTATAGCTCTCAAACATTTACAGGGACTTAAATCTATAATCAAGCACCTTTTGGACAATGGTTTTCTTAAATCTACCCATTCATCCTATAATATTCCCATTCTACTGGTACTCAAGCCTGATGGGTCTTATCATCTAGTGTAGGACCTTACAGTAATCAATAACACTATTACCTCAATCCACCCAGTGGTGCCAAACCCTTATACCATGCTATCTCATATCCCTCCCTCCACCACTCACTTTACAGTTGTAGATCTTTAAAGATGCCTTTTTTTTTATCATCCCCCTACATCCTGATTGTCAGGATTCCTTTGTGTTTATGTAGACTGACCCAAACACTCTGAGATCTCAACAACTTACACTTGTCATCTCTATAGTAAAACCTCTTCTCAGGGACACATAGCACCCCCTTCCTTTCCTATTCATCAATTTCATGGGCAACTCCTAGTCAGGACTGTCAGGTAGATTTTACACACCTGCCCTGCCACAAAACTCTCAAATATCTTCTCACCTTTGTTTTTACATTTTCAGGATGGATAGAAGCCTTTCCTACAACCAGGGAGACTGCTGATGTAGTTACTAAAGTCCTGTTACAAGAAAACATCCCAAGGTTTGGTCTACCTCAGAGTATTCAGTTAGATAATGGTCCAGCCATTATTTCTCAAGTCACTCAACAGGTATCCTCAAGCTTACACATCATTTGATGCCTACACATTCCATACCATCCACAATCCTCAGGAAAAGTAGAAAAGACAACTGGCCTCATAAAAACACACCTTACAAAACTCATTTTAAAACTACACCAACCTTGGCCTCAACTTCTGCCCTTAGTCTTAGCCAAGCTCAGGCTCCCCAGGCTCCTACATTTTAAGCCTTTTAAATTTAGGTTTGGCAGACCATTCTTACTCCACAATCTTCCTACCCCCCACCCCAAAGTCTCCCTCCTCTCACTGCCTATATCCCAATCCTCTCCTTTCTCTGACACATATTATGACAACATGCTGATCTCTGCCTTCCCCAACCCTCTGAAGGGACTGAACCAGATCCTCCCATATTCCCAGGAGATCTAATTTATCTCAAATGTTCTAAATCCACAGGATTATAGCCAAGGTGGCACAGCCCCTACCTGATCTTCTTGGCAACCCCAACAGCTGAACTGCCATTCTGGCTCCACATCACTCAGGCTAAGCAGTGCCCTCCCAACCCTAAATCTAACCATCCTGAATGGTCATCTCATCTTCTGTCTCCCACCCATCTCCGTCTCACCAAGGCCTCACAGCCACAACTCTCAGGCTATCTCATGACTATCTTTTGTTATCCAATTTGGTTCCTAATCCCTTAAAAACATTCTATTAATTATTTATTTTACAGCAGGACTCTTGATAGTCTTTCCTAAAGACTCCCACATCATGCATAAAATCGTCTTCATGTTGTTCTACAAAACAACGCTCTTAGTTCTCTCTACCTTCAACTGTTTAGTTAACATGAGATCCCTATGGGTCTAGGCTCTTATCTTCCTTATAGTGACACAGCCCTCCCCACCTCTACTCTGTAATTTCCCAAATATGATTCAATCATCAGGCCTTATATTTCTCATGCCTCTTACTCTTTCCATCTCAACTCCTGAACCAGAGACAAGCCCTACCTATACCTTTAACCTTTAACTTTTAACATTGGGGAAATAATTATCTCTCATAAATTCACTCCTCCTAATCCCACACTTTTCAGATTCTATCTTACTGTGGCCCTGATGGAATGGCATATTTAAATCAAAGACACCTTTCCTTCTACCTCTCCTGAGTCCTTAAATATGATAGTGGCCTGCTTCCTCATAACACCTTGTCTCTTTGTTTTTCCAATCTAGGATATGGGCATTCACCAATGATAAAGTTGTCCTGGCTGAAACACCTGGCACCAGCTTCTGCATGGGCATCAACCATCATCCTGTCAATCTTCCTAAACCCCAATATGACACCCCCTTTCAGCAGGAAGTAGTAAGAGAGAGACTTTGCCCTTTTCCTAACAATAAAAAGATGATAATGAGAGTTTTGCCCTAGAATAAGTTCCAGGACATTACAGTGGTGGGAGGCAGGATCAAGGGATGTTTACCTTGAGGTCACTTCCTCCTTCCCCTATTACAACTTCCTTTTTCCTTTCCCAATGTGCACCAAAAAAAAAGTTCCAATCAGTTGCTTGTGCATCATCAATGCCTGCCCTAAGCACCACTCCCAGTAAGAGGTTATATGTATATCCCATACCCCACGTTCCCATCAGAGGAAGCCAGGCCACCTGTGGTCATGGACTCCTCTCCACATCCTTGGAGAAAGGCTATTTTTACTTTATACTTTGTTCTTTTATCACACCAAAAACTCTTTCACTTACCAAACATTTAAGACTGTAAATTTTGGAAACAGTATAGTGAATCCTTAAAAAAATTAAACATGGGTTCCTTTATAATTTACTAATACTACTTCTGAGTATATATCCAGAAGACATGAAAGCAGAAACCAGGACAAATATTTGTGTGCCCGTGTTCATATCAGGATTATTCATGGTACCAAAAGGAGGAAACAACCCCAGTATCCATCTTCAGATGAATGGATAGACAAAATGTGATAGACATAGATACAGACATAGACCTAGAAGTAGATGTAGACATAGATATAGATGTAGATACAGATGACATGGAAGATATAGATATTTTTCTGCACCCTAAAAGGTAAAGAAATTCTGATACATGTTGCAGCACAGATGAACTTTGAAGACATGATACTAAGTTAAATAATCCAGTCACAAAAGAATATATGTATGAGCCCTTTGCATAAAAGGCTGAGTAGTCACATACATAGAGGTAGAAAGAATAATGGTAGTTTCCAGAAGAGAGAAAAAAGTCTTACTATAAATTGTTGTCATTTCTATAATACTTATAGGACCTGAATTAAATGATAAATACTTACAGGACCTGATTTATTATACTATGTCTATGGGGAGTTTGTCTAATGGTTACAGAGTTTCAGTTAAAGGTGAAAAAGTCTTAGAAATAGATGGTAGTGATGGACAGAGTGAAAATCCTCAGTGTCTCAGATCATACATTTAAAATTATTAAGATGATAAATTTTATGTTATATGTAGTTTTACCACAGTGAAAACCATTATGTATATTTTAATAAATCATAGATGACACTTTTTTCATATTTCACTGACCTTCAGTATAAAACATTTAGGGAATGAAAAGATTGAAATACCAACTTGGAGCCCATAAATCAGAAAAAAATAATAAATGGATCAACAGGTTTTTTTCTTTTAGTGTTCTCTGGAATTAATGGACTTCTAATTAGTACCTTGAAAGTTCAAGTATGTTCACTTGGTTACAAAAATGCAATATGAAAAACTATAATTTCTTTCCTAAAAGTTAGAAGGTGCCACGATGAAATGTTTCTCAATTATTGAGGTAAATCAAGGTCAAAATTCACTTCCAAATGGAAAAAAGGGTGCATTTTTTCGTTGCTTATGGCTTAAAATCAGCTAATAAAGTGTCAACGTTGGATTAATTACAAAGGATAAAAATTTATGACTTGGGAAATAATATTTTCAAGACATCTAAAGTGACCAAAAGCAGTATGTAATAGCTAAAAAATTTTATCATAACTGATATGTTAAAATATTTATTATAGCAATCAGAGTTCACTTAGTTCAAAAAAGTTCAACAGACACCAAACACAAAGAGAAGAATGGGAAAGAACAAGTTTTAAAATTCTAGAATAAAGCCAAATTTTTAGTTGTTTATATAATTCAAGATTCTAATCACCAGGGCTTTACCTGGTTGCCTGTATTTTTCTACTTCCAATAGCATAAAGCAAATTATTTCTCAATTTAAAAAGAAGTTGACTCTACTTACTCCTGGTGGAAATATCTGAATAATATTTCCAGCTATGTCTAGGATTCTTAGTTTTTTTAGATCACAGATTCCCTGTGTCAGGAAACAAAAGAGAAAGTTTTTTAATCTAATGTCTAAAATCATAAGCATGTCTTTTAAACCCAAACTTGATAAAAGTGACCAACTTCTCCAATTACCTGATCGATTCTGCAGTACAGAAGATGACTCCTATAGACGGCCAAACATCTTGAGTTTTGTACTTCCTCTAACTACCCCAGGGCAATATAACATGTTATGAGAAAGACTAGACCTAAGATCAGATCTTACCCCTGACAGTTACTAAGTACAATTGTGGACAAATTTCTAAACTCTCAATATTTTTGATTTCTTCATTCATAAAATGGAAATACTAATAGAATGTCATATTTCATGTAGTTGTTAAATGGATTAAATGGGTTTCTAATCTTGAAAGTCCTTATTAAGGGGGTATGATATAATGAACCCTCAACAGACTTACCTAATATTAAGTAGAAAGAAAAAATAATTTTGGAATGCTATCTCGATAATTCATTATATATCCAACTTTTCCTTAGCACTATGCCACAGGACAATATTCTTTATCAAGGGAGTAAAACTGCATCTACATGTCCTATGTATCTATGCATAACCACAGTAGCTACTTGGTTGTTAATAGTACATCTGGGTTCTAGTATATCTACTAACAGAAAGATTAGTAGGGTTTATTTTTTTTCAAATAGAAATAGCAAGGCCTTTTACACTGAAAAGAATAGTATAATTTACTAAATGATTTTAATTTGTAAAGATATTACTTATATGAACCTCCTTTTCTCATGGCCAGTATTCTCCCTAGGAAATAGTACATCTCTGGTCATACAAACACCTTTCTCTTTTACCTCACTACATTTTATTATAGGTTGGATTCTCTGAAAGCAAATTCTTAGATGGAGTTTGACTACTGGAAGTTTTATAATGATCACCCTTGTAAAAGTCAGGGTCAAGAAGTAGGATTGGACAAGTGAAAAGTCAAAGTGGGATACAGACCTAACAGAACTTCACTGAAGTCTTTAGCATCAGGGAGAAAAGGCCAATTCTTTATAGCCCTTCCTTGGTAGATCACATATATAGGATGCTCATAATAGGAAAGGAGACCTCTCCAAGTAAAGCAGATGTGAGAGAGCTAATCACTGAAGCTGTCTGTTATTCTTATTCTTATATCTGGGCAGCAAGTCCTTAGAAAGGAATTGGCCATCTGCCATGCAGGTGGTCTTCTTAATTCCCATGTATCTTTCTACTGTCAAGATACTCTTATTATTGTGTTAGCCACAAAGATTTTCAGACTTCCCCCCAATATGTTCTCACTATCCACTAGTCAAAACATAAAGATTTCTCAACCTACTCAAACACACTTGATAATGCCACTTCTATAGTTACTGAATTTCTTTTTATTAATTTATTGTTACTATGACTGCAGTCTCTTATTGCCTTTGATATTTTTGTGTAGATTTTTAATCTTTGTATATGCACATTCCATACAAGTCTTGAATCAAAAATATAAAATTCACAAATAGATAATGACCCAGTTGCATTATGAAAATGTTTTTCAAAGATATGAAAGTATGGCAATATAAGAAAAATAATAGGGCATTTAGTATTATAAGGTCAGACGTCTTCCTGGAAGAAGTTTAACCTGAGACACCTTGATTATAAGAGACAGGGATTAACCCATTAGGAGGAGATAGTTATTTAAAATAAACCTGTAAGAAATCAAGAATGGCAAAAATCCAGGATGAGCTAAAAAAAAACTAAAGAAAAAATAGGTCAGATAATTAAAGATCTTTTATGTATATCCTACACATTAATTACTTCGGATTCTTTAGTTTTCAAGCCAACAAAAGCCTAACCATACCTAACAAATGGTTGAATTAACTAAGATAATAGAAAGACAAAAATTGATGTCTTTGTGTATGGCTGATCTAAGGTGTTCAATTTTATAATTATTTTTTACTTTTCTGATACCATCACCTAAGTAAGAGCCCCTAAAGAATGTCAACATAGACATCAGAATATCTGGGCTTAACTTCTATTCAGCAATTCCAGCACACATAGAAGACATTTATTTCCTATAAATCCAGCAAAGTTGCTTCTCATCAATGAAGTTTAATCATTTGAACAAATCACTATGCCCAAAGTGATGAGATACTTTAATTGACTAGGTCAGCACTAAGCATGCCTCAGAGGTTAACTGGGTCAGAAAGAATTTCACAAAGATAAATATCACTATACCATATTAAATGTCCAGGGACACAAACAATTATAGGTGCTGAAAGTTCGTGATAGGACTAACTAGCATTTATGTTTTTTAAAATGTGTATTTCTTGGAATTCATAAAGTCATAGTACTAGTAGTAATTTTAAGGACATACATTTAAGGCAGACACAAGAGCTTGTGTTCTTTTTCTGTCCTTTCTAAATTGTTACAGTAGTCTCCATTTCTTATTCTAAAATAATGATAATTAAAAAAAACCTATGTCATAGAGTTATGATTTATTTATTTGGTGCCGGGGATTGAAGGCACAACCTGGTGCTTACCAGGCAGGTACTTATGCCACTGAGCTAAATCCTCGAGTTATTATTAAACAATGTGATTCACAGGAAGATGCTTTACTGTTGTTATTTGTCTTCCTCCAAATAAAGTTTATGTTAATACATTTATGTTGTAACTTTAAGATATTTTACTTGTTAATAGGAATTAGAATTAGGAAATTTAAGAATAGCTAGGCATGATGGCACACGCCTATAATCCCAGCATTTGGCAAACTGAGGCAGGGGAGTCACCTGAATTTGAGGCTATCCTGGGCTACATAGTGAGTTCAAGGCCAACTTGAACTATGTAGTGAGACCCTGTCTGTAAAAAGCAAAAACAAACAAACAAACAAATTTAGAATGAAATATTTAAAATACATGTTGTCAACAACTTTGACATATGTTCACGGATCACATACACAGGTTTTTTAAAGGAAACACCATAAGAAAAAAAGTGTAAGTACTTTCCATTTGTATGTGGACTTTATCAACCTGCTCTTTTTTCTCCTCAATTTACTGTGTATCAAATTCCCTACCAAATTCACTTTCATAAGGAAGGAAAGTAAATCCATTGACCTATTCTTAGTGAAGAAAAATTCTCAAGCTGGAAATCTGAGGAAGGGTTAAAAACAGTGCCTTTGATAACAATTTGCCTGGTTCTAGGCACACTAAGTTTCCACAGAAGTGACTCCCTAAACCCACAATGCCAGCAGCAGCAGTGAGTTCTTACCATCCTAACCCTGAACAGCCAAAGAGGGTAGTATTGGTCCATAGAGGACTCATTAACTGGGTCCCTCTGGAAATGCACAGAACCGAGGTACCCTGCCAGAGAAGGTGCCGTAGGAATACTCCCTGGTACTAATTCTTGCCCTTTCCCTTCCTCCTAGTGTCTCTCACTGGCCAAATCCAGACAATCAGAAGAGAAAGGGACTCACTGACGTCTATACCTCAGAGCAGTCTAGAGGGAGATTGAGAACATCTATGGGAGGAAAAACGGGAGCACATATTCTAGCACGTATTCCAAAATCAAAAGAAATCTGTATTTTGTTTTATATATAGAGTTGCTCAGTAAAACATATAATACTTAAATTTAAATCTCAGACAATGCATGATTTTTAGTATAAGTACAGCCCATGCAACATCTCAGATATTACAAAACTAATCATCGGTTAACTGAAATTCAAACTGAAGTAAGCATATTGAATTTTGATTTGCTAAATATGGTATTCCTTAAAATAATCCAAACTAGAACCCCTCTTTATTAGGGGGATTTGGGAATTGAGTCTGTCTACTCTGAGTAAAAGTAATGGCTTGTATACCAACATCCAAAACTGACCCAAACCACTTGCTATCATAAAGAGATAAGTTCTTCCCCGAAACAAACAAACAATATGACAGTTCCCAATTTTGCTTACCTCTGGCAAAACCTCAATGTTGTTCCTGACCAAAAATAACTTCTGGAGCTTCTTCAAGAATTTAATCTCTTCAGGTATGCAAATGAGCTGATTGTAGTTAGAATGAAGCTCAGAAAGATGTTCAAGGAAACAAAGTTCTCTAGGAATGCTGGTTAGCTGGTTATGATTTATATTCAAGAGCTTAAGACTTTTTAATCTAAAAAAAAGTACACAAAGTATAGGGATGAAGCTCACAAGAACAAGAAAGCCCATTGTATAAACATGACTTATCAGAAGCTGTGGGTCATTTATTTTTGCAGTGACTTCAGTCACGTATCCCCCTCTCAAGCGGGATTGGTGGGGAGTGCCTGGCCTGTGAGATACAGCTGGCTGAGACCCAAAAGGCTAGCCCAACTCAGGTCCCAGCGCCTGGAGGTGCACCCTAGGGTCAAGTGGTGCACCCGTTGGTAGGTTAACCTGGAGGGGCAGGCCCAGCATAGCCTGCCCAGGTCTGTGTCTCCCTAGTACAATGCAGTGGGCGGGAACACCTAGCCAGCGCAATTCAAACAGACTGTGGCTGACAGGGAAGGAAGCTGGGCCTCCTATACACGCTTAAATATAAGGAACAAAGAATATGGGAAGAGGGAGCAACAAGAAAGGGTCCTCCACCCCCAATCCTGAGAAACAGGCAATAGCAGACATGGCACCAATAGACATAAAGCACTATCTCCAGAGCCTCATAGACTAGTTCAGAAATGAAGTGATTAGTGACCTAATGCAAGACATAAGCAGAATAGTTAGAGAAATGCTAAGCACTGCCCAAGAAAAAACAGATGGTGGAATGGAAGAACAGAAAAAAAGGGGAGAATTGTTTGATAGAGAAGATAGAGAAAACATAAAATACATGAAGCAGGTTTAAAGAGATTACCAGGAAACTAAAAACCCTATTGAAAACTGGCATAACAGCTTGAAAGAAACTAAGGACAGATTATCTGAACTGGAGGGCAGACTTGTAATATGGGAGCATGAAATGAAAAACTTCTTAAAAAATAACAAAAAAACAAACAACAACAATACAAAAACTAGAAGATGATAAGAGGATCTATAACTTAAGAATTAAGAACATAAGAGAAGAAGTGGGAACACAAACAAATGGACTACAAAAGCTATTCACAGAAATAATCCAAGAGAATTTCCCTAATTTAGCAAATGGTAAAGATACTCAGATATATGAGGCATACAGGACTCCAGCTACCTACAACCCAAATAGAGCTACACCCAGGCATATAATAATCAAAATTCCAGAAATCCAATATAAGAACAGAATATTAAAAGCCATCAGAGACAAGAAACAGATCACTTACAAGGGAACACCCATCAGAATTACAGCAGACTTCTAGGCACAAACTATCATATCACGAAGAGGGTGGGGAGAAATAATTCAAGCTTTGAAAGATAATAACCTCCAGCCAAGATTGATATATCCTGCACAACTGTCCCTAGAAATTGATGGAAAAACAAGGTGCTTCCAGGATAAAGAGGAACTAGGGGAATTTGCAACCACTAATTCAACTCTACAAAGAATACTGCAGGATAGTCTAAAAAAGGAAAATACCAAGATTCCAGAAATAGTGGCAGAGAGGCCACAATGAATGGAGCAGAAAACGAAATGAAGAAGACAAACTGACAACAAACGACAGAAAAAGAGCTCAACAGAAATGAGGCAGAGAAGATTGGAAGGTAGGAACAGCAATTTTGGAGAAAACATCATAATAGCTAGTGCTGATTTAGTATCATCTTGTTTTGAAGTCCCATCAAACTTGTATTCTTCTGTCTCCATTGGTCTTAAAAGGTTGTATCTTATTGGATTTTATTATATATGATAATATAAGCAAAAACTTTTATAGACAAGGAGTTTATATGGAAACCATTGTTCATTTTCTGTCAATTGGTTCTAAATACCCCGTAATAATGTCATTCTCTTGAATGGTTTTATAGTGTCTTGATATGTTTGGTGCTACAGTATACGAAGTTACACTCAAAGATTTCAAGGAAAGAGACACTATGGTAACTACTTTTATGTCAGGATATCTTATGGTGAAACACTATTTTGCTTAAATGGTCATGATTGGACCTCCGCTGTTCTGTTGTTATGCCCTCTTTTATCTCAATCCTCCTTTTTTTTAATTATTTACTTTTTTTAATTAAGGGAAAAATAAATAAATAATAGCAGGATACATCATAGTAACCTACTTTGATTTCCTATTAACTTGATTTAAAATCCTGTATTGCCCTCACCATCTTGTTTTGACTGATTTTTCTCTATTCTGCTTTGCTTGATAGTGCCAAGATTGAAAGTATAGGCATAACTGTGAAGACAATAAGAATCATTATGATGCCCATTCTGGTTGACTATTATTTTCTTTTAAAATCCTGTAATGTCTCCAATGCTTTGGCTTCATTCTTTACTGTTTAGTTCAATTTTATTATAACTGCCAATTCTTCTTAAAATAGCAAGAGGCAGTATGGTAACCATTGTTGATCACGTTATATTTTGTTTTTACATTATCTATTATGTCCATCCTTTTGATTTGACTGACTCTGTTCTGATATGTTGCATTTGGTTTTACTCTCTTCAAAAAAAAAGTAATAAGAACTGTGGGAGTAATAAAAACCAAAATGTGTAATTGCCATTGTACAAAAGAAAAGAAAAGAAAGTGCTCTAAAGGTTATAATGGCATATACGTTTAAGTGTATAAGATAGATAACCATATTACTGAGTGTTTTTCGGATCATTGAACAAAACTGTTTGCACTCTCACTGTTTGAAAGTTCACTTTATATTCTTCAATTTTGTAACTTGAACAACTATTTCTAAGATGAGAATATGTAATCTATTAACTAGTGATTTATTACTGTTTATTTTTTAAATTTTGTATTACTTGTACCCTTTTTCTGTTTTTTTCTTTTTCTCCTTAAAAAATTTTAAAAAAATAAAAATAAATTTAATGTTTAAAGATATTTTATAATTAAATAGTTACATTTTAATATATTCTGCAATCACTATCTAGGTTTAAGGAAAAGGAAATTGCGGGGTTGGGGATTTAGCTCAGTGGCTTAAGCACCTGCCTGGTAAATGTGAGTTCATGAGTTTACCCTGGTACCAGAAAAAAAAAAAAGAAAAGAGGAAATTGTATTTTCATTCTTTATTCATATACATTGGCTGCATCAAAGAGGAAACTAAAAGGAATATATATATATATATATAATTTTTAAGAACAAAGTAAGTCTTTAATTATAGTCTCACAGTAAAGGAGGAAGCCTTAACTCGCACAAAACAACTCTTCAGTGGTGGACACAACATATTGCTTATTTTCATGGAATGGAATCATACACAGCTGGAAACTACAGAGTATACTCTAGAAATCAGCAAATACCAGGAACAGAACAAGAAAAAGATAAAGATGAGCCTAAACACGTTAATCCTTTCACTGGGATCTGCTGACCCACAGCCAAAACCAAGGCTGGATCACATAATGGAGGTAGATTGTAGGCTGGGAGAAAAGGAAATGGAGCAGGCAGGGCAGGGGCCATATTGGGGTGCAGGCTTACAGTCAGGGAAGTTACTCTTTGTATTTACATGACAGCATCAGTTTGCTCTATTTCTCGGAAACACGCATGGAAAGAAAGCATATAGGCAGCAACAACCAAAGTAAATTGTGCTTAGTTGGTCTGAAAGACACAAAGATGAATCAGCCACAAATCTTGCTTTTTTGTGTATCATAATTTAGAAGAAGATATTAGGTTGTACCAAAAAGTTAACATAGAATATGCTAGGAGATAGAGAAAAAGATTAAGGAAATTTGAATTCATAATATGAAATGCACCTGAGGTATATCACGTTTTTTGGAAGAACTGACATTTTGAATTTGGCCCTGAATAATGTAACTTGTAAAAGAGGGAATACTAAACTAAGAAAATAGGAACAAAGGAGCAAAAGGTAATTAATATCATAAGCTGCAACTGTGCACAGGTGCAGGGAATTTAACTATCAGCAGAACCTCGAAGTTGTAATTATTTCTGTTACTTTATAAATGAGGAAAACAAAGAGTGGCAACCATTAACTTAACCAGCAGGCAATAGTGTCAAGATTCAAGCGCATATACATGTGCTTGCAAAACTAAGAGTGAAATTGAGGACATATAAAGAACTCAAAAAAATCAGTCCTCCCAGATTCAAAATCCAAAAATGGGCATCTGAGATAAATACACACTTCTCAGATGAAACAATAAAAACAGCAAATAAATATGGGAAAAAATGTTCAACATCACTGGCCATTCAAATGGTGCAAATTAAAACAACACTGAAATTCCACTTCACCCTGGAAAGAATGACCATTATCAAGAAATCAAGCAATAACACATGCTATAGGGGCTGTGGGGGAAAAGGAACCCTTGGTGGGAATGCAGACTATGGAAATCAGTGTGGAGATTCCTTAAAAACCTAGGATTGGAGGTCCCATTCAACCCAGCTATTCCCCTTCTGGGTATCTTCCCAAAAGAATTAAAAACATCATACCACACTGATATATGTGCACTCATGTTTATAACAGCTCAGTTTATAATAGCCAGATCTTGGAAACAACCTAAATGCCCATCAATTGAGGAATGGATAAAAAAGATGTGGTATTTTTATATAATGGTGTACTACTCAGCCATAAAGAAGGATAAACTGAAAAATTCTATAGGTAAATGAATGCAACTTGAGAACATACTCATTAGTGAAATAAATAAGACACATGGTATAAACATCATGTTATTTCATTAATGTGACAACTTGAAAGAAAAAAATGTATATGTGTATGTGTATGTATATAAAAAATTAGTTAATATTGCTATACTACTGATTTCTCTGAGTTCGCTAAATAAAAAGATTTGTACTAGTGTTGTGAGACACCTACATGCAGATGTCTTGTACTCTGGGTGAATGATTTGGGGATTACACTGCACAATGCATGCACCATTGTTGCCCCCTGACTGATATATTTTGAAATTTTATTTTCTTCTTTTTCCTTCTTCTCCTTCTCCTTCTCCTTCTTCTTTTTCTCCTTCTCCTTCTTCTTCTTCCTCTTACTCTTCCTCTTCCTCTTCCTCTTCCTCCTCTCTCTGTCTCTCTCTCTCTTTGTCTCTCTCTCTTTCTCTCTCTCTCTCTCTCTCTCTCTCTCTCTCTCTCTCTCTCTCTCTCTCTTTCTTTCTTCCTTCCTTTTTACCCTTGAATAAATTGGATTGGGAAAAAAGCTAATAGTGAAGACATGTTATGATGTAAAGTTGAAAGCTGAGTTGGAGTAATGATTGAATGAGGGAACTAAATTTAAAGAAGAAATCTCTAAAGCTGTAGGACAGTATTTCAAAACTGGAAATGGTCAAGAGTTTAAATGTTAAAGAGATATAATTCAAATTAACATTTAAAGCACTAGAACTAAAAGCAGAGGAACAACCTAGGAAGTCAATATTTTAAAAATATATTGTGTCTCTATTTTATAGGCACAGATTGGAAACTAAAAATTTAAGAAATTTACAGTGACACAGATTTTTATACTTTAGAAAATAAAGGATACAAGAGAACTTTCTATTGAAAGAATAATATAAAGACGGAAAGTAGAATCATATAAATCATCACTGAGAATATAAAGAGGTTCTAAATAAAATAAGTGATGAAGCTTATTTATACAAAAAAGAAAAAATAATGTTAATGTGTCATCATTATGTTTCCTAACAGATCTAAAGTTTCACGAAGAGATCTAATAAAAATCTCAATGATTTGTTTTTGATTTTGTTTAATTTGGTTTGGTTTGTTTTGATTTTACAATAATATAGAGATTGAACTCAGACTTCTTTGCTGACATCACAGTCCTTTTTATTTTTTATTTTGAGACAGGGTGTTGCTAAGTCACTAAGCAGAGTACTAAGATTACAGGTGTGCACCACCACACATGGCTACTCAATAGGCTTTTTTGGCAGGAAAATTGATAAATCAGTTTTTAAATTTGTATGTGAACTTAAGAGACCCAGAATAGAAACTGTCGTTTAAAGGAAAAGAGCTAAAACGAAAAGAAAATAAACCTGCTTTCAAATATTACAATTACAATAATCAAGAATTTTGCACTGTAAAAAATAATAGTGTTATGATTGTCTATGTTCCCTCCAATTTCATGTCACAGCCTAATCGCCAGTAGGATACCATGAGGAGACAGGATGCAATTAGATCGTGAGGATGGAGCCTCCATAAATGGAATTAGTGCCTTTGCAAAACAGGCCAAAGGATATTTATTGCCTTGCCCTTGCCACTATGTAAGGATACAGGGAAAAGGAGCCATTCTGTGGGCCACAAATGGGTCCTCATCAAATACCAAGTCTGACAGCACCTTGACTTTGACATCTCAGCCTCCAGAACTGTGAAAATAAATTTCCTTTTATGCATATGCTATTCGGTGTATGGTATGCTGCTATAGTAGCTCAAATAGACTTAAGCAGAAAATAAACCAGTGGAAAAGAGCAGAGTGTCAGTAACCTCTAAACAATCAACTGATCTTTGACGATCGACACAACTTAAATGAAAAACGGTAAGCCAGATGTGGTGGTGCAAGCCTATAATCTTAGCACTCTGATAAGGCAGAGGCAGGAGGACTGTTAGACATTTGAGACCAGCATGGACTACATAGTGAATTCAGAGGAAGCCTGGAATACATAAAAAGACCTTATCTCAAAAAAAAAATCTTTCAACAAATGGTGCTAGGATAATTGAATAAACGTATGGAGGAAACATGAACCTTGATCTTTGTCTCACACCTTGTACAAACATTAATTCAAGATGGATCATAGATTCGAACAAACACTAGAAGTTTGTCTTATAAAAGGAAATCTAAGATACGGTACTATCTTGATAACTTTGGGGAAGGCAAAGATTTCTTTAAAAGGCCCAAAAAGCTCTAATTATTTTAGAATTTACCATCAAACTTAAAAACTCCTGTTCATAAAGGTCATTAAGAAAATTAAAAGATAAGCCACATACTGGAAGAAAATATATTTGTCAAAGCTCTTTTATCCAAAATAAAGAAGATTTGCAATTTAATTAGAATAAACAACACAATTTGTAATGCACAAAATACTAAAAAGAGATATTTCACAAAACAAGTTATATAAATCATAAGAACATTAAAAGGGTACTTCACCTCACCGGATATCAGGAAAGCACAAGCTAAAACTATACTTAGATTTTATTTCACACCCACTCAAAGGCAAACATTTTTTAAATGCTGACTAGAATGTAAAATGGTACAACCACTTTGTGAAAGCATTGTCAACTTCTCAAAAGTAACATATACATGCACTCTAATATCTTCTGAATCTATGATTCCACTCTTAGCAACTAAAATGAGAAATAAACATTCATTCACAAAGACTTCTCCAAAAATATATATGATAACTTTATTTGTAATAGTTTCAGACTAGAAATGACCCAAATGTACATAAACAGGAGAAAAGATACATGCTATATGGAACACTACAACAAAATGCTACTCAGAATAATAAAAAAATACAAGTACCAATAAAACCAACAATAATATTAATCTCAAAAAACATACATAGCAAAAGAAGAATTGAAAGAGTATGAATATACTGTATGATTGCACTTCTTTACCATTAGAACAGGCAAAACTAATTTGAAGACATAGAAATCAGACTATTATTTGCCTACACGGAGTAAGAATTCAGCCCAGTGTGAGTCAGGGCACGTCTGTAATTCCAGTACGCTGGACAAGTGAAGCAAGAGAATCAAAAATTCTAGCCCAGCTTGGCAACTTACTAAGACTTTGTCTCAAACGAAAAAGAAAAAAAAGAAAGAAGGGGAGAGGAAGACAGAGGGGGGCAAAGGACGAAAGAAGAGAGAGAGAGGGAAAGAAAGAGAAAGGAAGAAAGAAAGAATGAAAGAGAGAGAGAAAGGAGGATGTACCTCAGTGTGAAGCCCTGGGTTCAATTTCCAACACTGCAAAAGAGAAGGGGAGGAGGAAGACAAGAAAGGAGGAGGAGATGGTAACGCTTCACTGGAAGGGAGAGTCTGTCAAAGTCGTCAAAGATGTGAAGCCATGTATTGTGCTTAATGCTTTTCCTAACTTCACCAATTAGTCACTCTTTTATCTCTGGAAAGGAGTTGAATGAGAAGAACTAGAATAAAATAACAGCCCATAATGATAAAAGCTAACATCCATCCGGCACTTATTCAACCCTAACCACCACTCCTGCATTAGCATATTTGAACCTCATAACATTATGTGGTAGGTACCATGTTTGTTGTGCAGATAAGAATATTAAGGTATGGGAATGCAAGGCACTTCCCCAGAGACAAAAGCAAAATTCTGCTTGAGATGACCAGCTTTCATCTAGAGCCTAGCTAGAACAACAACAACCTAGAAGGAGGTATAAAACATGGACCTGTACACTTTGTAACTCAGTTTTTTTCCAGTGAAAGCTTTCATCTAACAAACCACCTTAGATTTATATGATTCCTTAAATAATGCATATAGTACTTCAGAGATAAGCTTTATATAATATGAAATTATATCATTATAGCTGTAAGAACTTTGGAGCTCATTTATTTAAAAGTCTTCCAATAATAGACAGGATAGATGAGACCGAGTCAGTTACGTAACTTCCTTGAAGTCATAAGGCTAGTTGTAAAAGGATATATAGGTTGAATCTCACACACTAGATCTTCTAGATGTGCTATTTTCATTATATCATCAATATATAAATCAATTGATAAACTAAATAAATGAAAAAGCAAAAAGATAACTATTGATATTTTCATTAAATAGTATTTTCTTTCTGCAGAAATTAGGTTGATTTGTTTCCTAATTTCCCTGAGTTAAATATTACTTTCCCTGTAGAAATATACTTGCAAAAAATAATACCTTCACTGAAATTACACACAAGAGAACTGCAATAGATTTTCCATTCTGCAGAAAGCCTGGTTCATAGCTTTGTATATTCCTTTAAAACTCTGGGTGCTCTTACTTTGTACCACATCTGGTTTTGCTCAATAGGCAATAAAGAGTCTCTCCAAAGTGAACTCGATCAGGATTCTCTCTCCATGTGTCAGGGGGAAAGGCCAGGAGGACAGTTTTCCTGGAGAAGTACAAGGCCCTCAGCTGGCTCCACAATCGTACAGCATAGCCCATCTGTGCTGAGGTGTGGCATAAGAGAAAATAGAATGTTTTGTTGTTGATGATGATGATAAAGTATGGGGCTTTTAAAATACGAAAATGGTATTGTAGGGCTAAATCCTTTTTTGTTTTTGTATTACCTTTTCCATCAAACTCAAAATCACTTACAATACTCAAGTGAAATAAAATTTAATGTCCCCGAGTCTATGGCTGAGGAATTTCCAAGAACTCCAGAGCTGGGAGATCAGTAACAATATCAGTTTTAGAACTTCAGGTGTCAAACCCCCACTTTTACACCTAGACTTCCAAGTCGTGCTGTTTCCCCTTTTTCCAAAGTGACTCAGGAATCCTTAAAATCAAGGGTTTGTTTCAGATCCCTCCACGCTGCATCCAAATCCTGTGAGCACTTAGGGCTACATGTAATGCTTTCAGGAGATCGGGATGGAACTGGGATACGCCAGACGTTCAAATGGCTCTTGCTAGAAGCAGAGTTACCTGTTGATTTCCCGAGGCAGCTGTGTAAGTCGATTATTGTTCAGATTAAGCAGGATCAAATTTTGTAAACCATCTGTTAGAAAATAATGTTAGTAACTGTAGCCATCTGTTAGAAAGTAGTCACTTTCTACACACCTTTGTTTTCCTTCTGTCTTTTTGGTCAAGGCTGCTGCCCAGTACCCTCATGAATTAACTCAGACAAAAGGTCAAATTGATCACAAAGTTAAAAGGCTTAGTCATGGTTTCTAAGGACAGAAGGTACAACCAGGCGTTAGAACCAGAAACTAAAAGGCACTAAGAGTCGAATGTACCTTTCTAATATCTCTGTAGAACACATTGTTTATTTTCTCTTTAAATCTTTTCTCAGCTTCGTATTTATAAGCTTTCATCTCTCTGTCTCTGACTCTCTGGTCTCTGTCTCTCCCCTCCTCATTCTTCTCTTTCTCTCTTGAACACATTTCATCTATTTTTCCATGTGTTCAGAGCCATCCTACAGCTCCCACAGATTGTGCAGGCTGGGAAGTCTCAGTCTCAATTGCCATCGGAACCAACAAAAAAAGCCTTTGCTTTATCAACCAGTGCTACCACCACACACTAACACATTGCAATTGTCATGTAAGGATGTGATTGCAGTATTGCTTAATTTTTCCTTTTTTTAAAAAACAGCTCAAAAACAGTCAGAGTTACGGATTTTGTGTGTACTCTCCTATTTGAAAATTTTGGTACCTCGTTCAAAAAATTCAGAAGGTTCAAAACAAAGTCAAACCTATTTACAAACTAGTTGCAGTGCAAGAGCCACCAATTTGTCTCAGGCCATGTGATTTTCTCAGGTCAGTGAAGTTCTTTTATTTATTTTATCTATCTATCTATCTATCTATCTATCTATCTATCTATCTATCTGTACCTGGGATCAAACTCACTATCTTACACTTGCCAGGTAAGCGCTTATGCTGCTAAGCATCCCTGGCCCCCCTGAAGCTCTTTTAAACTGTCACAGTCCTAAAGAAATAGAGCATACAGCTGACTCAGCTTGAGGATACATGTTTTATTCAGGTCAACTGCTGCAGTCAGGGGAACAAGGTCACAAGATATAGCAAAGATCTCCAGACCTATGCTGGATGGCCCTCAATTCCCTGACAATAAATCACTTCTACCCCTTGATAATCAGCAACTGACATAAAATTTATGCTGATCCCCAGGGATTTTCAATGCTCTACCTTTAGGGCTGAGGCTGTACCTCAGTGGTAGATCACTTGCTTAGCATAGCTGAGGCCCTAAATTCAAACCATAGCACAATACATACATCATAAATAAAGTACTTAAAAATATAGGACTAGAGGTTAATTGTATTATTTGCCAAATATAACAATGCCTTTAACTACTACTTGAAGATAACTAGAATTATTATATATGGTACCCAATGGCCCAAAATTTCATAGAAATTTATAAATTCTAAGCACTTCACTAGTTTTACCACTGGAAACTCTTATGGTTTGCATCTGGAATGTCCCCCAAAGACTCACATGGAAAGCAGTGGTGGTGAGCCTAAGGAACTCACGCCACAGCAAGCTGTCAGTATGTGAGCCAAGTCATTCCAGCAGCTGAGCACTGGATAAGAGTTTTCTAAATCAAAACTTCAGTATTCAGGTTTAATTGTAGTGTTGGCACTTTCCAATAAATAATTGGAGTTAGGGTTGCAACTGGGGCACTTGTCTCTGAAAGTATCACTGTGTTAAAGATTTGGACCCCAGCTGAGGGCATTATTGGGAGGTGGTAACACCTCTAGGTTACCTTATGGTAGGACCTTATGGAAGGAAATAAGGCCATTGGGGGTGTGCTCTTGGAAGGAACGTTGAGATCCAGGCCCCTCCTCTTCCTGTTTGCTTCCTGGCCACCATGAAGTGAGCAGCTTTTCTGTATCACCCACTAGTCACCATGATGGCCTGCATCACCGTAGGTCCAAAAGCAGCAGAGCCAGGCAATTTGAAATCATAGGGAAAAATAAACCTTTCCTCCTTTTAAATTGTTTATGTCAGTAATGGAGAGCTGATGAGTACAGAAGTTTACATATAAGGTGGTGAAGTACCTTATTTGAGTTAACGAGACTATTAAAGTCAGCTAGATTTCTTTGTTGTGCATCTGTCCTTAACCATCCTAGCTACATCAAATAAGAACTCCATATTGAAAGGAAAATTATTAGCTTATGACAAATATAAGGAAAATAATGCCATTTATTGACTCTCATAATTTTTTTAAAACTTCCCAAATTGACTTTAATTTACTGCCCTAATCAAAGACTTCTGATTTAATACCTAAGATAGAATAAAAAGTAAAAAGAACAAGAAGATCTGTAGAGAGCTTTCCTTAAATTTCAAAAAGTTTTGTCTCTGCCTTAGGAAAAGGGCTTTTGAATCAAGAGTCTGATTATGCACTAACTCCAAAAAGAGAGAAATTCACTAACACTAATGATTATTTATTCTCTTATGTCTACACATAAATATTTGATACAAAAATTGAAAAACAATTTCTTAATTTTAAGAGCAATATGCACAGATCTCCAATAAAAAATTAAAACCTATGAAATTTTCTTTACTTCAATTCCATTTATTACATATGAGGGATTAAATCTGATAATAATGTTATTCTTCTTTGACTGACTTACCACATGCTCCAGGTGCAAATCTACAAATCCTGTTTCTAAATAAGTGAAGCGTCTTCAGGGAAGTAAGGTATTTCATCTCTTCTGGAACTTCTTCTAAAAGATTGCTTCCCAAATTTAGTACTGTCAACTTCAAAAATATAGAGATTTAATGGATACATGCTTTATCTGCCTTCAAATGAGAAAAGAAATAATTTAATCCCTTTGCTCAGAGCTACATTACTAGAAAACTTCAAGATAATCTTCAATTATTTCACTTGCAACTAAAGTTATATTCAAAAATAAAGTCTATTTGAACATCATGCTGGAACACTATTTCATCAATTAAATAAAAATTTAATTTTCAATAAAAGCACTTAAGTTCATTAAAATTGTATGGCAAACCATTCCCATGAGATTTTAAAACAAGCTGATGACTAATTCATAATTCATTGAGTAACACAGTAATAATCTAACATTGTGAACCACAGAAGCAATCTTTAAAAAGACCAAAGGACTCTTTCTGAAATCAGAAGAACAAAGATCTGAGGCCTCATGTGTACTATTCCTAAGTAAGCTACCTCACTTAAACCAGTAAGTCTATTATATTTATGGCCATAGCAGAGGGACCTTTATTGGGATGTGACTCTATGTCATCACAAAGTTTACAGAAGCAACTACTGAAATGCTGTAGAGAAGACCTGCTACATATGTGCCTGTCCTACAACTGAAAAATTATCAGACATTGGAAGAATGTCACATAGGAGGAGTTTTATAACTCCTTTCTTGGTCTAGTTCAACAAATCGATGATACAAGGTTGTTTTCTGAAACATGCCAATTTTTTTCATGTGAAATCTATTTTTATTCACCAAATATTTTCTTTTACCCTCAGGTATAATTTATCATTCAGATACTTCATACTTTAGAATTTTAATATTAAGAGAAAACAAAATAATGCGAATTTTAACAAATTTGCATAAGAAAATGTAGGTACTTTATAATTATGTTTATATCCAACCTATTATTTGGTATGATAATCTAAATAAAATTTAAATTAATATAAAGGAGACAGAAATCTTTACAATTAAACTTCATATTCTAAGAATTCATGGTTAAGCTTTGAGCTCCATGTTTTTACCTGAGAGTTATGATCATCCTGCTTTTTACATTATAATACACTCCTCAACTGTGAGGCCATATTCTATTGGTGAAGTTAAGGTACATTCATAGTGGCAGTTGAATGGAAAGACTTAATCTAGTGCCTGTGAATCAATCAGTTCTGTGTTGCTGCTGCAACAAATTATCACAAATCACATCTTTGTCTATGGTTTTTCCCTCTCCTGCCCTGCTTCCTTTGCTCCCTTGCAGGTTTCTCCTAGAAGAAATGCCTCAGTAGATTATAAACTGTATGTCTAAGGTCTCTAAGACACGCAGTCCCTCTAAAGTTAAGGGAAACAGAAAGATGAGCTATTAAAAAAAAGCTATGGATCATATTTGAGAGGAAGGTTAAATAAAGTAAAAACATAGAAATAGCCACTGGATTCATCAACTTGAAATTTACTAGTGACTTTGAAAATAGGGGAAATACATTCCAGAGAGCAGGCCAGCTGGAGGAGCATGAGTCTGCACTCTGCATCTCTCCATTACATCTCAGAGGATGGGCCACTTGGAGGACAGTGAGTCTGTGCTCTGCACCCCTCCATTGCATCCCTCAGAGGGGGCTGGCTAGGAGAAAGTGAGTTTGTTCAGGGCCTCATCCATTGCATCCCAGAGGACAGCTGACTGGAATAGTATAAGACTGATGGGAACTCTAAGACCAGGACAACAGCCCGTGGCACAGATGCACACACACACACCTCTGGAGGGTGAAGTAATCAGTGAGGCCAGCAGGGTGGAAGCATCTCAAGCAGCAACAAGGAGATAGCAGTTGGACTTTGGAGAACTTCACCAACAGAAAACCAGTCTCAGCCCCCACATCAAGAGGCCAAGATCAGGTCCATACCCATCACATCTCTGGGATGCCACCCAGATATTAACAAAGAACTATACGCACCAGAAGAAGAAACTGGACATAGATGCCCCTCTGAGCCTGCCAACCACCATCAGAGACCAGTAGCCAGTTGATGCGGGCAGAACTAGCCAGCAAAGCTCTCATGCACCTGCTTCATTATATCTGTGCATGGCCAGAGAAGCCAGATTTGTACCCCACTGCTTCCCTGAGAACCTAGGATAGTAGAACTCCAGGTACCTGACCCATTTCCCTACACGGCAGTTGAGCAGCCAATGAGAGAAGAACCTGGGACCCCACAACTAGCTCATCCGGAGGAACCCAGGAAAATGTCAAGACAAAGGAGCAAAAAGCAATCTGATACTTCTTGCTCACACATAACAAGTCCAGGAGAGAGAAACAGAAGAAACTGAAAGTCACACACCTGAAATTTCTGAAAGAATAGCAACTGAAGTAAAGAAAGAACTTTATGAGGTTATAAAAATAATCAGATCAGAAATAATATCTAAGGTAAAAGAACAGATGACAAGCATAATGAAAGAAATGCTGAGCATATCTAGAGAAGATATAAGTAAAAAAAGAAGGACACTGGAAAATGATGGAAACCTTGAATTAACAATATACAAAAGAACAACAATGTATGAAACAGATTCAAAAAGATATTAAAAAAATAAAAACTCCATTGAAGGCCAGTGAAATCTCTTGAAAGAAACTGAAGATAGACTTTCAGAACGTAAAGACAGGATTGCAGCTATCAATTGCACAAGGAAAGATTTTTTTAAATAAAACAAAGAATCAGGAAATATCAATTCACTGGCTGCAAGTTGACACAAAGAAAAATAATTTAAGAGTTATAGGTATCAGCAAAAAGGGTTAACACAAATGATATAAAAAGACTGTTTATAGAAATAGTATCAGAAAACTTCCCAAGCATGATAAGAGGACCTGATATGCAGATAAGTGAGGCATATAGAACTCTAACTAGCCATAACCAAAATAAATCTACACCCAGACATATAATAATCAAGATCCCAGAAATTCAGCTCAAAAACAGACTATTGAAAGCTGTTAAGGAAACAAATTACCTATAAAGGAAAACTCATCATACTCATGGCAGACTTCTCAACACAAACCATCAAGTCAAGGAGAGTTTGGATAAAATGTTTTGAGTCCTGAAAGAAAACAACTTCCAAGCCAGATTGATGTACCCTGCAAAACTATCTTTCAAAATTAATGGAGAAATAAGATACTTTCATGATAAAGAACAACTGAAGGAATTCATGACTACCAAACCAACCCTACAGAGAGTGCTAAAGGATGTTCTAGAGAGAGCTGAAGATGACCATGGTTCCAGGAACAGTAGCAGAGGGGGCAGACAACGGAACAGAAGGGAAAAGTGGGGGACCAGCGGTAGGAGGATAGCATGGCAGAGATGAGCCAGTGCATGTCAATTGTAACCATTAATGTAGATGGCCTCAACTCACAATAAAAAGAAACGTGGGCAGAGTGAGTCAAGAGACAGAATCTAACAATATGCTGAATACAAGAAACACATTTGACTTGAAAGAAAATTCACAGATTGAAAGTTGGAGATGAGACAATGCTCCATGTGGTAGAGATCCAGAAAAAAGCAGGGATAACTTGCCCATCAACCACAGACTGGACAGGAAAGATATGGTATTTTTATACAATGGAAAACTACTTAGCAGTAAAGAAAGATAACCTCGAGGCTATTGTAGGTAAATGGGTGCAATTTGAGATCATGCTCATGAGTGAAATGGTTTGGATTCACATTGGTTAACATCATGTTGTTTCCTTAGTTAAAAAAAATTAGAGTTAGTGAGATCTAAATTGCACAATAGATTTTGTGAAGGTGAAAGGGGAGGAAATGTCTAAAAAGGGAAGTTGGTAGCCCCTGTCAACATCCTATTATCTTGTGTTGAAGTCCTGTATCATTTTCATTGTTTGGTTTGGTTTTATTCTGTTCTGTTGGGTTAGATTCTATTATGTCTGATGGTGTTGGCAGCTATTCTGAAGATAACAAGATATATTTTGATACTCATTGTTGGTCTCCTATTATCTCATTTTGAAGTCCTGTATCATTCTCATTGTTTTTATCAGCTTTATTCTGTTTCATTTTATTTGATTATGACCTTTTTAAAATAAAATTTAAAAAAATAAGGGGAAGATGTCAGGGAAGAAAATGTGATCAAAGTGGACTGTGGAGAAAATGTGAGAAAGCAAAGATGATGAATGACTAGTGGATAATTCTTGTAAGACTTTTTCTATTGAAAGTAACGAGACAATGAAAAAGAAGCTAAAATTTGTTTTCCTCTAAAATAAAAAGTACTGTGGTTTATATATGTCCTGATGAGGATGGGGAGAATCCTGGAGACATTGACATTTTACTTTTGTAAAGAGAATGATATTGGAAGAATAAAAATGACTTAGATGAGCGGATGTAACTCACTGTACAAGTAGCTTCTGGTCTTCCATAGGATTAGGGATTCATTATTAAGGTTTTAAGCAGGAAAGTAGACAAGGTAAGGGTAGAAAATATAAGTAAATAGGTTTAGTGATGGAAAAATGGAGACTCTGACATAGGTACTTTTCTCATTGCTGAGACAAAATACATAAACCCCCAAAGGAGGGAAAGTTTATTTAGCTATTTATTTAGCTAACAGTTTGTAGAGGTTTCAGCCCGTAATCAGCTGGCTCCAAGGCATGGCAGACAGACATCATAGAAGATAAATAGTTCATGGTAGGCAGAAAGTAAAAAAAAAAAAATCAAGTAAGCAACAAATTACAAGTGCTTAGCAGCAAGCCTCTTTCTGTCTTTGACAGGGTACCCAGGCTATCTGCCCTTAAAGCAGAGAGCACTCACACCCTTAATCTAAGCATCCTTAATCCTAACTTTGCACCATGAGTCAATCACACACTCTCAATTCAGCCATCTCTGAAAAAGCCCCATCTATAACTACATGAGGGTTTGAGGGGACATATAAAGAAGCTACACATATACTGTTTACAGCTGTTTTCTCAATAAAATATAAAACAGGGGTTGGAGCCAGAGCTCAGTAATAGAGTGCTTGCATAACATGCTAAGGCCTTGCCAGCATCAAAATAAACAAACAGATAACCACAACATGACAATATGAAACAAAGCCACTTGCTGGGAGAAGATATAAGGGGTCCGAAAAAAGAAGAAAAAAGGTCTTTCTGAAGAGTAATCTATGTTACTGCGACAGACAGGCGACAAACACAGATGGCTTTCAATGCTACTTAGTTGTCAAGAAGGTGCTACAAAACTGGTGGATTATCAGGAAAGGATATTTTATCTGGCTAATATGTATAACTCTATAGCCTTATGGCTTAACAAATTACAAAAATTTGGAGCGCCATAAACAACAATATGACATGTAAAAAAATGAACGGAATACCTCTGAAAAAATACAAAACAAAAGAATTTCAAAAATCAAAGCTAAGATGAAAAGATTGGAACTGGGATACCTTTTCATATAGTTGAATAACAAAAGAAAGATTCTTTGATGGCCTTTAATTTATAAAGTTCTCCTGACAGGTAGCAGAATTCATGTTCTATTGTCAAGGCAAATACTGTCAGGGTTTGGCATAGATTAAATTATACAAGAGAGTTCAGAAAAGAAACTCTGTAGCAAGGACTGAGTTACTGCTGCATGGGTATATTTTTATTATGTACCTAGCATTCTTCTTAATTCTACAGGTTACTACAGTGAAAAAGATATACAAGATCTCTCTCTCAAAACAGCTTGTGTATTGGGATGGGAACTGTCATAAATTACTTTTCTGGTTGCTGAGACAAGATATGCAACAGTCAAAGTTTAAAAAAAAGAAAGGTTTATTAGAGCTCGCAGCTTGCAGAGGTTTCAATTCATAGCTGGCTGGCTCCAAGGCAAAGCGGCATGGAAAAGGGGCATTACACAGGAGAAATGGTTCATAAAGGCGGAAGGCAGCAAAATACAGCAAAGCAGCAGCAGCGATTGGCCTGACTTCTTTCTGTCCCTTTATACTCATTCAGGTTACACATCCTTAGAGCAAGGAGCACTTAAACCCAGAGTGGGCCTTCCCACGATCCACACCCAGAACTATGCCAAACCAATCAGTGGAATAATTTAGTAATCATACACACTTAATTCCAGCCTCATACACCCAAGATTCAGTCACCTCCAAAGCCGCATCTATTACTGCATGTTGTAGTCTGGGGTTGTAAACAGAGAACAGTTCAGATCAGGACATGGAGTTTATAATATTTTTATAATGGTCACCAGAAGTTAACACAGGAGAATGCAGGAAATCTATCCGCAACACCAACGACATAGATTATTTAGTCAAGAGTCTAAACCCCATGGCAATGTCCCACATAAGTCCAGATAAAAACCCAGAGATCAGAACAATGCCTCCACGAGTCCAACTGGAAGTCCAGAGCCCACAAGAAGGACTCACGCCAGTCTCTTTTACAGATTCATGCCGGGAAGACCCAAGGGTCAGCCGTGGAAGCCAGAAAGTCTATGCCAGCAGGATGAAGGAGCTGTGCTAGTGGGATGAGGCTTCTACACTGGAGCTGAGAAGTCAAACTCACAACAAAGAGCGGGCTGTCCTGAAAGGAACCACAGCTGTCCTCAGCGACACGGAGGCCCCAAGCTCCTCTGACGACAAGCACAGTCAGGTACATGCCAGGAAGCAGTGTGACGAGTTCATCCTGGAGACCAGGCAGCACATGTCTTCCCTTCTGGAGCCAGGAAGCAATGCTCGATGTGAAGACCAAAGCTTCTCCAGGAGAACCAACAGCTCAGACAGCAACTCATAGGAGAACCAACAATGCCTCCATAACGCCTCAATCCCTCTCCACACCTCTCTTCTTCTCCACCTATTTATCCTGGCAACCCTTCTCAGGTGGAGCATCTTCTCTCAATGCATGCTGATGTAATCCAGCTGGCGTTAAATTGACCACTAGTTATCAAACCATAACACTGCATGAGTCTTTGGGGGGGGGCATCTAGACACAAGCCATTAGAATTACAGAAACCAAGTTAGTAAACAAATAAATTATTTCTGTTAGAATTAAATGTTAGGTGTGACATAAAAAAAGAGGATTAGAGAAGGTATCTCTAGGGATGAAACATCTGAGATGAGAAATTTGGGGTTCTTTGGTAAGGTTGTTCCAAATTTTTTTTTACTGGCAAAAGATTTCAGAAATAGCAGACCTCCAGAAGAAGCATTATGCACTGTTTCTTTAGTAACATCGTATAGATAACTCCCAAAGAAAGGTTTTAGTCATATGACAGTTAAGTTGATAAGGCTTCATACTCATATTACTTGAATAATTATCTATAGAGTTAAGTTCTGCTGATATTCTCAGAGAATTAACTCTTTTGTTCTTGGGAAACAAGTATGTTACCATATATCAAAACATGCTATTAACTGATTTCTCAAAAGCCAATGATATGATGACACAGGAATTAGAGCATCTTACAATTATAAAAAAAGTATTATAAGTCATCTAGTTCAACAAATAAAGTAAAAGCACACATTATATATGTTCCTGGTGAACACACTCAGTAACAGGGATCTCTTTTATCATGTTGTTTGCCCCGTATATCTATCTCACCTATCATATTTTATGATTAGGCTCTCTATACCTTTTACCCAATTCTCCAAACAGAAACTATAAAACATACTTTTATTCCCACTTCTCTCTCAGAAAACAATTTTTAAATTTTTTTAAAGATTGTTGCCATAGTCTCCTTGAATTTGCTCCATTATTCCCTAACCATTTCCCTCAGGACACAATTTGAAGATCCCTAATCATTCTGGCTGCTGTCTAATCTTTGTGAGTGCTTCTCTCTAAAAACACGGTACCTAGGGTGAGACAGGAAGTGAAAGTTCATAGCACAAATGCTGATGGGACCACTGAGTCTCCCTTGGGCAGATGACTATACTCTTATTAATTCAGACTGACATGGCATGCATTATTTCTGCAACAGGGCACATTGTTGGCACATAATTTTGTCTGTGGCAAAAAAAAAAAAATGCCTAAGTTAGCTGTCAAGCAGATATCCCACATCCTGGGCTTGTGCAACTGAATTCTTTTCTTAACTTAAATGCGGAATTTACATTTACCCCTGGAAAAATTGCATCTTGTTGGTTTTGGCTTCTAAGACATCTCCAGTGGATCACTCTAAATTCCAAGAATAAAACCGGACAGTGCTCTGAACAAACCAGATCTTTTTCCCATCCCCATGTTGGACAGTGCACTAACTATTCTCAAATGCCTGTGGTGGTCAAACTCTGGAATCACCTAGAATCTCTTTCTTTTCCTCCACATAGACTCAATTAATCACCAATTCCTAGGGCTGAAATTGTTTTTGGATGCATATTTTCAGTTCTATCATATTGCAATCATCTTAGCTCTTATTACTGCCTGCCTACAGATTACATACCCCATACTGCCAAGAATGGGATGTATTGTCATTTAAATTCTTTATATCAAATCTTACTAAATTACATCTGAATGACTGCCCAAATAATCAATCCAGGAGAAATTTGCCTATCCAAAATCTTTGCAAGTTCCTTGTAGTAGCTGTTCTTATTATCCATGCATTTGCCACAGTTCATCTTTCTCAACTGTTCCTAAATTTATTTAATTGCAATAACAAATTCATACTTTTAATCTATAACTTATTGTGCCCTGTCTTGGAATAGATGTGTATATTTCCTCTTTCAAACTGCATATGAGATAAATATCTCAGTGTCCATTGGTGCCTTTGGATTATAAAATGTAGGTTCACTGTATAGCTGTCTTTGTACAAATAGAGAAAATAGGATATGAAATTTGAAGAGAAAAGTACTAATTAATTTATTAATAACAATACCAATTGTTAACACTAAAGTATGATTCAATATGTGCCAGAGAGTGTGCCAAGCAGTCTTCAACTCTGCCTACTATGGACTTCATAATAACTCTCATTCTACAGAAAATGGAATCTGAGGCCCAGTCTATAATTTACAGTGAAATAATGCAGCTTCACTCTTTGCTCTATACTCCTAATTTCTACACTACAGTGTCTAGCATAATATCTGCCTATTTTAAAAAAGAATGTACTATTGTTCAGTATAGTCATACATATGCAAATGATACACATGTATACAAATATGCTATGTACATGTATACAAATGCACAAACATACAATGGAATTGTTTTGTATATAAAAACTAAATTCTGATTTTAAATATTCTAGTGATCAATTCAGCAGCACATTATATAACACTGGAACGATACAGAGATTAACATTGGTGCCAGGCAAGGATAACATGACAATTCATGAAAAATTCCATATTTTTAAAATTAAATACTCTATTTCCATGCATGTACTTTAGTCAGTGTTATACATAGGGAAGACACATTGTATAGGAAATTATTTCCTACAGTTATTACAATAAATAGTTTCCTCTACAATGTATCCCCTATACAGTGAACTAGCTGTGTGATCTTGGGTAAGTCACTCAAATTCCTATGGCTCACTCCTTTTTAAAAATGAAGATACTAGTATCTGTTTCTTAAGGGTGTTTAAATATAAATAATAAGGAAAATGGCTGATATTCTTAATTACTAAGTAATGCTTTAGACCCAGGAGAAGATTGTAGGACAAAACATTATACATGGTGCTAGAAATGGCAAATAGGTACGGCTATATCAGACACAGGATTGTGAAGGAATAATACTGGTTACGATAGAAGCTTTAAAAATAGGCTCCCGAGGTGAAAAGAATTTTCCAGAGCTGGGTACTCACTAGACTGCTGCTACTGACTATGCACGAGCCACCAGTTCACAGCTCCTTCTCAGTTCCCTTCCCACACCCATGTTAACCTGCCGGGAGAAGAATTTTCTTTTTCCTCCCTTCCTTTTTTCTTTCTTTCTTTCTTTCTTGCTTGCTTGCTTGCTTGCTTCCTTTTTCTTTCTTTTTGTGGTCTTTTTTGAGACAGGGTCTCACTATGTAGTTCAGGCTGGATTTGAATTCACAGTGATCCTCCTGCCTCAGCCTTCCAAATGCTGAGGTTACAGGTATGCACCACCATGCCCAGCCACTCAACCTTGGAATAAAAGTGGATGGCCCACAAAATGGAATCTCATTCCACTAGTTAACATCTTTATTCACCTATCGTCTTCAAACTCCTTCTTTGGGGATGGACAAGGGGTTAGAGGGATGGGATAAGAACATGTCAAACGTGTCTCTTAGCAAATTTCAAATTACAATATTAACCAGAGTCATATTATTAAACATTAAATTTCTAGAACTTATTTATATTGCATAACTGAACTTTGTGCCTTTGACTTATTTACTCGTTGCTGAGACAAAATACCTGAAGCCCAAGTTGGGAAAAGAAAGATTTATTTCTTACAGTTTTTGGAGGTTTCAGTCCACACTCAGTTGGCTCCAAGGCAGGCAGGCATGGCTGGGCTGCAATTCATGGCAGCTGCAAACAGCAAGCAGGAACCAGCAAAAGAGCAAGACATACCTTCTTCCTGCCATTACATCACATCCTGGCTCCATCCCTATGTGGGTGGAGCACTGACACCACCAATCCAAGCACTAAACAATGAACCAATCACAACTGCACAATGCAAACTCATGAGGACTAGGGGCCACAGATATAAACCATGGCATTCCACCCCTGGCCCCCAGGACTCATGTACATCCTTTATACAAAACACATTTAGTACACCTCCAAGAGTTGCCAAAACCTTAACAGTTTCAGCATTGCTAAATAGCTCAAGTCCCAAGTCTCCTCCAAGATCTATGGCAAACTCTTAACTGTAACCCCCTGTACAAATGAAACAAAATTAAACATTTCTGAAATGGAAAGGCACAAGATAAACATTACCATTCCAAAAGTTACAAGCAGGGGAATATAAAGCATTAGAAACAAAGCAAGTCCAGCATCCAGCAGGGCAAACATTAAGTGCTAGAGTTCGATGCTCAGCATCGGAAGCAAACTGGTTGCAAGCTCCAAAAGTCTTGGGTGATTCCACCCCCACGGCACTTCTGGTGATTTCAGCTCCTGCAGTTTTTCTCTTAAATCTTCCCTGCTTGCTTTGTGCAGCTTCCCTTGGATCATCCACATTCCTGACTTTTCCAAACTTCTGGGGTTTCCACTGCACCTTTTGCTTCACCTTTACGTCTTCACAAATTGCCCTCTCAGGGGCACACTGCTTGGCCTGCCAGGCCCTTTGCAATTGAGGTGGAAGCCATATTACCCTCAGAATTTGTACATTTTCCTTGCACCTAAAATCAGCACCTTGTGGATTCTGCCAAGGCTTGCTGCTAGCTGGAGTAATAGCTAGGCTTTTCACTCTCTTGGCTGTAGGGGTCAGTTGCCTAGATCGCAGGGCTCTGTTTACCTGATTGTGAGGAAAAGCTTCTCTATGTTGCCACCATTCTGGAACCTCATGTGGCCTCTGTCACCATTCCAGAACCTCATGTGGCCTCTGTTGCCATTCTGGAACCTCATGTGACCTCTGTCACCATTCTGGAATCTCATGTGGCCTCTGTTGCCATTCTGGAACCTGGTGCTCTGCAGCTTTCTCCTCTGAGCAAATTCTTTTACCTTGGCAGTGAGGCTGCAAAGGGTAGGGACCCCCTTCCTGGGATACCCCGAGGCCATCTTTCTTATCTCTCTGTTTCTCCTCAGCAATCAAAATCTCAACTCTGTCTTTACATCCCACAGTCTTCCTGGCATTTTCCTTCTGGCCAAACTCACAGTATTGCAAATTACCCTGCTGGGCTCTTTGCTCTTGATTTACATCATAAAGTTGGCTAAAAGCCCCCAACAATAGCCATACCACAGCCTCAATGTTCCATTGCTTTTTAATATCTTTTTCAAGATTAATCAGTCCATTGCCCTTTGTTTCAGACTTAGGCAAAGTCTCTGGGCAGGAGCAAAATGCAGACAAACTTTCTGCCAAGCCATAACACAAATCATGGGGAGTCCAACAACCAATGCAGTCCTTCTTCCCAGTAGAAACCTCCCAAGCCTGGTCTTTACCATCAGGCTTTCTATCAGCCTTCTGGTCTCCTGAGTTCTGACCAGAATCTCCTCTACAGAACAGCCTAAGCTGTTCCAGCTCTATGCATCCAGGTGACATGTCTGAACATTTCCAAACTCTGCCACGAGCCATTTCGAAAGCCTCTCGAAAAACATGGTCAGGTATAGTCACAGCAAACGACCCCACTCCTGGTACCAAATTCTGTCTTAGTTACTTTTTACTCGTTGCTGTGACAAAATACCTGAAGCCCAAGTTGGGAAAGGAAAGACTTATATCTTACAGTTTTTGGAGGTTTCAGTCCACACTCAGTTGGCTCCAAGGCAGGTGGGCATGACTGAACTGCAGTACATGGCAGCTGTAAACAGCAAGCAGGAACCAGCAAAAGAGCAAGACACACCTTCTTCCTGCCATTACATCACATCCTGGCTCCACCCCTACGTGGGTGTAGCACTGACACCATCAATCCAAGCACTAGACAATGAACCAATCACAAATGCACAATGCAAACTCATGAGGCCTGGGGTCACAGACATAAACCATGACAACTTATATCCTCAATCTCCCTTTTCTCCCAAACTCATGCGAACACCATTCTATACTCTATTTCTATGAGATTGATGTTTTTAGATCACACACATGGTGTTATCACACAATATATGTATTTTCTTTGTCTGGCTTATTTCATTCAGTATAATGTCCTTGAGGTTCATCCATGTTGTCATAAATGCCAAGATTTTATTTTCTTCATTTCTAAGGCTAAATAATATTGTACAAACACACACACACACACACACACACACACACACACACTCCTTTTGTCCATCCATTCACACATTAATGGACATTTAGGTTGCTTCTATATTTTGGCCCCTTTGAATAATGTTATACTGAGCACAGGAGTGGAGATAGCTCACCCACATCCTGACTTTATTTCCTTTGGGTATATGCAAAGAAGTGAGATTGCTGGATCATAATGTGATTTTTAATTTTTTGACAAACCTCCATACTGCTGATCCAAACAGCCATACTGATTTACAATCCCACCAATAATGCACAGATTCATTTTTCTTCATGCCCTCACCAGCACTTATTATCTTGCATCCTTCCAGTGATGGTCATCCTAACAGATATAAAGTGTTGTTTTTGGTTTTGACTTGCATTTCCCTGATGACTAGTGGTGCTGAGCATGTTTTCATACCTGTGGGCCATTTGTATGTTTTCCTTTGGGAAATGTATATTCAAGTCCTTTCTCCATTCTTAATTGAATTTGATTTTTTGTTATTGATTGCATGTGTTCCTTATATATTTTGGGTAATAATTGTTTATCATGCATATGGTTTGCAATATTCTCTCCTCTTCCCTAGAATTTGTATTCCCTCTTGTTTCTTTTGCTCTGCAGAAGCTTTTTGGTTTGAAGCAATTCTATTTAACATTTTTCCTCTAGCTCTCTGAATGATGATGTCATGTATAACAATGGCAACAAAAAAAATTGCCCAGATCAATGTCAATAAAATTTTCCTATTTTTTCTTCTAGAAGTTTTACAAGTTTAGGTCTTATTTTCAAATCTTAAATATCTTCTGAGTTGATATGGTGTATGATTAGAGTAGTTTCTTACTATTCCATGTTGATATGCAGTTTTCACAGTATCATTTACTTAAGAGACTACCCTTTCCCTCAATATTCCCTCAAAGAATATTCTTTACTTCTTCATCAAAGATTAGCTGACTAAAGATCTATGGGTTTAAAGTGGGCACACCAGGGAAAGAACATGAGTGAGCCTACCAGCATGGGCTGAAAATCAAAGGTCCTATGCCCCTCACACCCCATGAGCAACTGGATAGTGTCGAGGACAGCTGGAGTTGATAGCAACTAAGGCACATAAAGTAACTAAATGCTTGTATTGTTTGATTGATTATGCTGATCTGGGGCCAGAGGTGTGAGCATCTCTTGGGAGGATGACTGTATGCAATATAACAAATATGGAGGATTTCCTTCTATCTTCTTTTTGAAGATAAATATTTTTTTCACTGTTTTGCTTTGTTCTGATTAATTGTTTTGCTCTATTCAATATTCTGTTTTGATCAGTTTTATAATGTTCTGTTTTTGGTTTGATTTTGGTATACCTGATTGAATGGACAGCTATTATGAAAATAAGATATATATATATATATATGGTACCTATTATTGTTATACCAGTATCCTGTTCTGAACTTCTGAACCAATTTCACTGCATTGTCTCAGTTGGTTTTGCTTTGTCTTGTTTTCTTGTATTTCACTATCTTCAAAATAAAAAAA